ATATATATTATAAATAATATGTTTGTGTGTTATATATATAGGACTAGAGGAGCTAGATATAAGAGGTAATAAGCTAAAAAGATTAGGGGAAGGAATAAATGTATTAAAAAGATTAAAGAAATTAAATATTTCCTTTAATAACTTGGAGACAATTGATGGCATAAATAGTCTCCCTTTATTATATTTATTATGTGCTAGTAATAATAATATAAAAGAATTAGGGTGTATAGGCAGTTGTATAAATATAAAAATATTAACATTACATAATAATAATATTAATAAATTTATTTATTTATATTCTCTTTTATCTCTTAATAAATTAATTTCTTTATCTATATATAATAATCCTTTTTTTGTCTCTTTTTTTACTAAAAGGAGACTATTGTCTCTTTTTCCTCATCTTCTTTTCCTTAATTTCTCCTTATTATCTCCTCAAGATATTGCTGATGCTCCTGAGGGTTTATTGCCTGAGCATCATCAGCAGCAAATAGAGATGCAGCGCATGCATCAGCAAATGATTATTCAACAGCAGCACCAGCAGCAGCAGCAGCAGCAGCAGCAACAATTACTACAGCAGCAACAACAACAACAGGATAAAGATAAACAAGATAATAAAAAAGATAAACAAAAAGAATTACAGGAACTGCAGCAGCAGCAACATATATTATTACTGCAGCAAGAAATACAGCAGCAACAGCAACAGCAGCAGCAGCAGCAGCAGCAGCAGCAACAGCAGCAAGAAGAAATACATGTAGAGAAATGGTTTAATTTACCATCTAATTTAATTCATCATGTATTTGGTAAAGAAACACAAGAATTAAGTTTCCTTTCTTGTCTTATACAACAAAAAGATACTTTTATACAAACTCTTGCTCCTCTTGTTGGTGCTACAAGGTATATCTACTCTTGCTGCTACTGCTGCTGTTGTTGGTGTTGCTGCTGTTGCTGCTGCTGCTGCTGTTGTTGTTGTTGTTGTTGTTGATGGTGGTGGTTATAATGATGCGTTTATTGTGGTTGTGGAGTGCAAATATCTATTCTTAAGGGTTTAGGGTTTAGGGTTTAGGGTTTAGGGTTTAGGGTTTAGGGTTTGAGTGCAGGAGAGCATTAGAAGAAAGAGCGCAACAATTACATAAACGAATGCTTTCTTTTAGGGCAGCAGCAACAGAATTAGAGGAAGCAGCAGAAAAATCCGCACTTGCTGAGGTCATAAACCCTAAACCCTAAACCCTAAACCCTAAACCCTTTCTAAACCCTTTCTAAACCCTATCTAAACCCTAGATGAATAGCTAGTCATAGGAGGTGAGGGGGACTCCTGCTAATGAGGGCAGAGTCTTCGCTGCTGCTGCTGTTGCTGATGCTGACGGTTCAGCTGTAGGTTGTGTTTCTAGGGTTTAGGGTTTAGGGTTTAGGGTTTAGGGTTTAGGGTTTAGGGTTTAGGGTTTGATTTGCAGATAAGGAAGGCAGAAATTAGCCGCAAAGCATTACTAAATCAATTGGAGGGTTTACATGCAGAATTAACAACCATCATCTCTGAACAAAGACAAGCAGAATCACAAAATGATGATGCCGGTTAGGGTTTAGGGTTTAGGGTTTAGGGTTTGGGGTTTAGGGTTTAGGGTTTAGGCACAGGAGTGTTTTTGTTTTGGGTGTAAATCTAGCGGTAGAGGACAAAAGCCTAAACCCTAAACCCTGATTGATGTCTTTGCTGCTGTTGCTGTTGCTGCTGTTGCTGCTGCTGCTGCTGCTGCTGTTGTGTGTTGCTGCAGCATCTGTGTCTTCGCAGAGCAGCGGTTCATCAACTGCTGCTGCTGCTGCTGCTGCTGCTGTTGCTGCAATAGAGGAGAGATGGGAGAATGTAGAGAATCGTTGGCAGCAGGAGCACGAGCAACGTTTGCTGCTGCTGCAGCAGCAGGAGCAGAGTCTAGCAGAGGGGCTATCAGCAGCAGCAGCAGCACTAGAAGCAGAAGCAGATGCAGCAGCAAAGTTTGCTGCTGATAAGGCAGGAGATTTATTCAGACAAATAGAGATACAAATTAAGGTCTCCTCTTGTCAGCTAGCTGCTGCAGCTAGCCAAGAGATTGCTGCTTATCTAGCTAGCGAAGCTGTTGAGGATACAGACCCTAGAGCACATTTCTTCAATAAAAGGTTAAAAACCCTAAACCCTAAACCCTAAACCCTAAACCCTTAAATCTCTAAACCCTAAACCCTAAACCCTAAATTTTACACTTTATACAAGAGATTCCTGCTTAGCTAGCTAGCAAAGTTGGTCAGGACCAGAGGGCTCATTTCTTCAATAATAGTTCATAAACCCTAAACCCTAAACCCTAAACCCTTAAATCTCTAAACCCTAATCCATTAAATATCTAAACCCTAAACCCTAAAATGTCTAAACCCTAAACCCTAAACGGAGGTTTCAGTGAGCAGGTATTCTGAATTCCTCAACAGAGCTGAACTCCAACAAACCCTAAACCCTAAACCCTAAACCCTAAACTTTAGGGTTTGTATTTGTTGCTGTTAGGGAGGAAGTGTTGGCTGCTGTGACTGCATTGGGGGAGCAGCAGCAGCAGGTGGTGACAGCAACAGAGGACGCGCTGCAGCAGCGGCTGCAGCAGCAGCAGCGTCAATGGTTTGCTGCTGAGGAGGAGAGGCAGCACCAAAGACACGTGCTGCGCGTAACAGAGCTGCAGCAGCTATCTAACTCGCTGCAGCAGCAGGTAGCAGCAGCAGCAGCAAAACTTAGAGCAGCAATTGCAGCAAGCAGATAGATCTAATCTGCTGCTTATGCTGCTCTTATTCGTGCTGCTGCTGCTGCTAAAGTAGCTGCAGCAGCTGCAGCAGCAGCAGCTGCTGCTGCTGCTGGTGATAGAACTCAAAGATAATTCAAGGGGACTGAACCAGTTGGAAGTGCTGCTGCTGCTGCTGCTGCTGCTGCTGCTGCTGCTGCCGTTGCTGCTACATGCCAACTATAATGCAGTAGCATCTCAAGAGGCAGCAGCAGCAGCAGCAGCAGGACTAGCAGCTATCCCAGCAGCAGCAGTAGCATCAGCAGCAGCAGGTGTTGCTGCTGCTGCTGCCGCTGCAGTTGTGGCAACTGCAACTATCTGACAAGCAGGAGCACTGCAGCAGCAGCAGCAGCAGCAGCAGAACGTGTTTCTGCGGCTGCTGCTGCTTCTTCTTCCCGTTGCTGCTGCTGCAGAAGGTTGCTGCTGCTGCTTCTACAGGCTGCTGCTGCTGCTGCTGCTGTTTTGCTGCAGATTTTGTGCCATTTCGTTAGCCGCTCGAGCCACGATAGCATGCGACTCATACCTACAGCACAACAGCAGCAGCAGCAGCAGCAGCAGCAGCAGCAGTGTAGCAGCAGCAGCAGGCACACAGTGTAGCAACAGATAGCAACAACCGTAAGAACAGCAGCAGGAGCAACAGGAGGAGCAGCAGCAGCAGCAGCATGAATAGCAATGGCTGCAGCAGCAACATAAGAAATACCAGCAGCCACAGCAGCAGCAGCAGCAAGCCTATATCCAACCGCTAGACCACCACCAACAACAACAACAGCAGCAGCAACAGCAGCAACAGCAGCAGCAGCAGCAGCAGCAGCTTACATTCTATCCATACACTTAGCTAGACAGACTTGATCTCCTTTAGATAATTCATCAGCAAATTTATTTGATGATAAACACTTCTTAAAACATGTCTTCTGCACTTGCTGTACGTACACCCTAAACCCTAAACCCTAAACCCTAAACCCTAAACCCTAAAATGTAATATATAAAATATAAAATATAAAATGTAATATATAAACCCTAAATTATAAATAATAAATTATTATGGCACGTCTATTGATACCCGTTAACACAAACCCTAAACCCTAAACCCCAAACCCTAAAATGCAAACCCTAAACCCTAAACCCTAGACGTACCTCGTTGAGGACGCTGAGGACCATCATGCTCAGCAATTGCTGTGCATCCTGCAGCGTTGCTCCATTATCATTGCTGCTGCTGCTGCTGCTGCTGCTGTTGTTGTTGTTGTTGTTGCTGCTGCTGCCGAACATCTTGTGTGGCTAGTCTCAAGTTGCTCTTGCGGATACACTTGAGGCCACAGCGGTCTCCCTGCTGCTGCTGCTGCTGCTGTTGCTGTTGCTGCTGCTGTTGCTGCTGCTGTTGTTGTTCCTGCTGCTGCTTTTCCTACTGCAGCTCTTGCTGTTGCTGCAATCGCTCGTGCTGCAGTTGTTACTGTTCGTGGTGCAGTTACTCTTGCTGCTCCTGCTGCTGCCACTATTGCTGCTGCTGCTGCTGCTGCTGCTGTTGCTGTTGCTGGAGGGAGTGTTGTTGGCGTTGCAGCAGAAGGCAGAAGACACCTCGTGTCTTAGAAGGTCGCAATCCTTCTTACTTCTACTGTTGCTGCTGCTGCTGCAGTTGTTACTGCTGTTGCTGCTGCTGTTGCTGCTGTTGCTGCTGCTGCTGCTGCTGCAGAGCCTTCCGTGTCTTCTTAATTACTGTATAAAGGATTAATGGCTATTTAAAGAAAAAGATTTAATAGCTGTCTCGCGTGTGGGGCTGCAGCTGTAGCAGCAGCTGCCGACGCTGCAGCAGCAGCAGCTGCTGCTGCTGCTGCTATGGTCTGCATGCATGCATGCATGCAAAGGGTAACTTGTCTATAAGGAAAGTATAAATATTTCTTCTTCTTTTTTAATATTTTATTTCTTTTTTCTCTTTGCTGCTGAGGGGGGAGTTAGGAGGGTTTGTTCTAATTAAGAGGTACACCCCATTTGCTGCTGCGTAAACAGCAGCAACAGCAACTTCAGCAACTGCAGCAACTGCAGCAACTGCAGCAGCAACAGCAGTAACAACAGCAGCAAGAGCTGCAACAGCAGCCATAGAGCGCGTGTAAGATCCACGAGGTGCAGCAGCAGCACCTGTAGGGGTTGCAGCTGTGGCACCCGGAGAAACAGCAGAAGCAACAGCAGCAGCAGCAACAGCAGCAGCAGCAACAGCAGCAGCAGCAACAGCAGCAGCAGCAACAGCAGCAGAAAGGTGTAATGGAGTTTCCTGCCTGCCGTACCCCTGAATGGCTTCGAGCTGCATTTGACGGGCCAGAGGATCAGCAGCAACAGCAGCAGCAGCAGCAGCAGGATCAGCAACAATCTGCAGCATCACCAGCAGCAGCAGCAGCAGCAGAAGCACCAGCAGCAGCAGCAGCAGCAGCAGGACGTTTACGATGTCCTCCTTTTGTATTTAAGGATTTAGTGGTGACACCTCGTTTGCTGCTAGCAACAGCAAGCAGCACAACAGCAACACCTCCTCGTCGGCCTCCTCTCCGCAGCAGCAGCAGCAGCAACAGCAGCAGCAGCAGCAACAGCAGCAACAGCAGCAGCAGCAGCAGCAGGAGTCTATATGAGCAGAGAGCAGCAGCAGTAAGCAGCAGCATAAGAGAGGCATTATTTAGACAGGCATTATTTAATATACAAAACATAGAAGTACAGACACTACGCAGCTGCAGCAAACCAAGGATACTTGCTGCTGCTGCTGTTATATATGATAGGCAGCAGCACCTCCAGCAGCAGCAGCAGCAGCAGCAGCAGCAGCAGCAACAGTTGCAGCAGCAGCAGACAGCAGCAGCAAGTGCAACAACTGCAGCAGATTCCCTCCCTTTACGTCTAAAGGAGGCAGCAAAGTCCTTCTTGCTGCATTTGCGCAACACCATCAGCAGCAGCATAAGCAGCAGCAGCAGCAGCAGCAGCAGCAGCAGCAGCAGCAGCAATTTAGGTGAGTTGCTGCGTCGTGAGGAATGGTTAGTAGATCGTTGTGGTAAGATTAGGGTTTATGAGGTGTCTATACACCGCAATAATGATGACTTTTATACACAAACCCTAAACCCTAAACACTATACAGATAAAATTAGACAATTATATTATCATTATATTGATTATAATGATGATTAACTCCTGCTGCTGCTGCTCCTCCTCCTCCTCCTGCTGCAGCTGCTGCTGCTCATGGTGCTCCTGCTCCTGCTGCTGCTGTTGATGGGGCTGCTGCTGCACTGGAGCGATATACAAAGAGCTGCTGCTGCTGCAGTTATACCAAGTTGTTTTTTGCTGCTGCTGCTGCTGCTGCAGCAGCAGCACTGGTACAGCTGTAGTTTGCTGCTGCAGTTAACAGCAGCAGCACTACTGCCACAAGGGCAGGCTGTGCTGCAGCAATGAGCAGCAGGAGCAGCAGCAGCAGCAGCTCCTTGCTGTATATATAGACCCATTTTTTTTGTCTTCAAACCCTAAACCCTAAACCCTAAACCCTTAACTGCGCTACATGCAGGGCATTGGATCAGCCCCAAACCCTAAACCCTAAACCCTAAAAAATGTAAACCCTAAATATAATTAAATAAATAAAATGTAATACTTAACGCCTGTTACTATAAATAAACAACACAAAAACAAGTCCTGCTGCTGTTGCTGCTGTTGCTGCTGTTGCACGGTACAGCAGCAGCAGCAGCAGCAGCAGCAGCAGCAGCACTACTAGCTGCAGCTCGTGCTGCCTTTCATGTCTGCAACAAATTGCTGCAGACATGTTGCTGTTGCTGCAGCAACAGCAACTGCAGCAACAACAGCAGTTGCTGCTGCAGCAGCAGCAGCAGCACGTTGTTGTTTGCTGTTGTGCTGCTGCTGCTGTTAACTAATTGAGGAATAAGAAGAAGAAGAAAAAAGAAGAAAAAAGAAGAAAAAAGAAAGAAAAGAAGAATTAGGGGTAAATAAAAGAAAAAGAAAAAGGAAGAAAAACAATAAAAAATAAATAAAAGAAAAAGAAGAAAAAAGAAGAAAAAAAGAAGAAAAAAAGAAGAAAAAGAAGAAAAGAAAGAAAAAGAAGATAAAAGTATTATATATACACCTTTTATACTATTTATATACACCTATATATATATTGAGGCGGAATAAGTCCCTAGGGTT